TCTCTCTCTCTCTCTCTCTCTCTCTCTCTCTCTCTCTCTCTTTTGCTCTCTCTCTTCTCCCCTCTCTCTTTCACTCTCTTTCTCCCGCTTCCTCTATATATGTATTTCACGCGATCATTTTTGCCGGTTGCAAAATAACGCGCGTGTGTTTTCATTTCTCGTCGTTGACGTCGCCTCGCTAGCTCGCCATACCGTCGTTTACAGCGGCTATTTATTCGGGCAGCAACGCGTTCGGCGCATTATACGCGTCATTTATTTTCGCGGAACGACCGCGCTTCTGTCGCGCATCCATTCGTAATCCCCGCGGAACGGGAGAGTCGGCCGCGCAATTAGAGGGGAAGTAATATTTCGCGCGATCAGGGATGCTCCAAGCGACGACGACGGTTCTCTCCCGGTTTGCCCCGGCTTCCCGTCGACGGCTTAAGGACGCCACTTCTGGCCTTTGACTTTGCTTCGATCCTCTCTTTCACTCTCTCTCTCTCTCTCTCTCTCTCTCTCTCTCTCTCTCTCTCTCTCTATCTATCTATCTATCTATCTATCTATCTATCTATCTCTCTCAGCGAATCGAATCTAGTCGTAATTGCCTTTCTACGCAAGGTTTAAACAGCCTTGTGGCTCGTGGATTTAACATCGCGCAGTTTGCCCGCACCGGAAACTCGTCTTCAGTGTTACCCTCCCTCCGTTGGTTAACTCTTTCAAAGGGTCGGTTTTAAACCGCATTCGTTTCATTTATTATAAAACGTATATAAGTTACAAAGCGCGAGCACACACGCGCGTCTGTTTGCTGTATGCAAAATGTTTAAAAAGGTTAATCCGCTTCTCAAAGGGTCAAGAGCGACCAACCGGAAAAGGAATATTTACGTAATGTGTAATATGAGTGCCCTATAATGCCTTTCCTTTTCGCCGGCGAACATGATGTCGTATATGCGGAAAATGCTCGCGTACCTCTCAAGACTGTTAGCCGTTATAAATTCTTTTGCGCTACTTTTTCTCTCATATTCCTTTTTTCTTACAAGTAACGGCGGCTTCGCGACGCAAAAAAAATTGCCGCGCTCTCTCCTCGGCTTTGCAAAGCGATTCGAGATGACACGCATTTCGCAGGGAATCATAAACTCTCACGAAGGGAATTTTGTCGCGTTGAAAACGCGGATATCGTAAGAAACTAATAAAAGATACTTTCAATAATAGGTACCTCGCACACGGTGAGAATTTTGTAGTAAAAATTACTATATAATTTTGTAACTGTAGAGTAGATATTTTGTAGTGATTGGCTCCTTTCACTTCACATATATGCTATTTGTATTTTAGAATTTAATGTGTGCTATTAAAATATTTGCTGCACTGGGAGAAAAAATATCTAACAAATAAAAAATATTTTTTAGGTAGATACTAATAACATATTTATGTGAATATTTAAATTTACAACGTGAAATTTATATATAATATGTACATTTTATGTTAAAAGTAATATCTACGAAATAAATATGTATTCAATGAGTATTAATAACGTATCTACTCTTATGCTAATATATATAAAATATCTTTTAAATAAGAAAATATACATTTTTTTAAGTTTTTCATGCAGTATTTATTCTATTTAAATAAAAGTCTTTGGATTTAAATAAATCTATTATTGGTATCTAACGAATAAATATTTTTGAATTTTTAGATATTTTTCATTATTTATTTCCAGCGAAATTTTTGCTGTTTCCAGCGAAATTTGTTGTGTTCTTTAGTAAAATAATTCTTCCTGACAGTCTATTACTGCACTACTAAGTTTGCACAGCAAAACTAAAAAAAAACATACGAACAAAAATTATTATTCGTGTTTTTATCATGTAGGATTCATTTTATCTCATAATTATTATATTTGTAATATTTCCAAGTATATCAACATGACTGTTGGATGAAAAAAAATACTTTTGATAAAAGAATTAGTTATTTAAGAGTTATTTAAGAGTTAAAGTTATAAAAAAAGTTACTTTCTAGGAGTTTTTTAAGTCGTTGAATTTGAATCGTCATTTCGAATTTCGCAATTTTGACCTCAGATTTGAATTCAGCGACCTAAAAGATAAACAAATATAGCATCTCTCTTAATTTCTTTTTTTTTAATATGCTTATATTTTCGTCATGAGCTCTTTGGCTAGTTTTAATTTTGCGAATATTTCCGCCCTCAAAGAGTTAATGTCGATGCTCTCCCCTCTTTCTCTCTCTTCCTTATTTTATCATTTTGTAATTTTTGCACGACGTTGTTCACACGGCATCGCTGTGGCTGCCGATCGATGTCCCGCAGACTCGACAAATGTTCGCGATCCGCACGGCGCCGTAAGTCCGATTCGCGCGAAAGTATTCTCTCCTCTCCCCCTGCCCTCGCACCTCTCCCCGTCGACTCGGCTCCGTTATTTTATCCAGCCGCGCGCGGTGACTTACGGTCGATCTCCGCTCGAGCCGCGTGGTCAGCAACCTACATTTCAAGCAGTTTCCCCATAGGTATTTTAGATATTATCCACGAATTGTTGCAAACTGGCACGTGAACTATCACGCGAGCTCTCGCAAGCTCGCATCCCCCTTCCACCACGCCGATACACCTTCCCTTGCAGCTGCAGCGCCGCCAACCCTCCTGCCCCTTTTCGCCGCTGACCTCGGCCTGAACTTCGAACAGATTACGCGTTCTTATTTTACCCCGGGCAACCCTGAATTTCATGCACGTGACGAGCGATCGTTCGTCATATTCCCCGTTCACGTGCATAGTCCGCGTGCCTATATTCCGCGGCGCCTTTCGTACGTCGCATCAATCGAACTGCATTTTGGCGCAAAACGTCACTTACCCTTGAATCCCGTGACGGTGCGAAAGTACGACCTTCGGGGCGGCCCGTAGTGTGGCTTTATATTTGCGTGTCCTGTTGTGTCTAAAAATACGGCGCAATGGTGTGCACGAAGTGCTGCTAAAGCGACCTTCTTTGAACGTGCGAATTTTCTCTGCTTGCAGGACGACACCCGCATAATGAAAGTCGGCGACAAGAAGCGTTGGATACACGATCCGAACAGTGAGTAAAACATTTACGCGTTCAAACAACATTTTGTATTTGCGTCGAAATCAGTTCGCGTAGAAACTTTCGTGTTCAAATTTTAACGTAGCCCCCTGTATTAATTTAACATATTGTCGTTGCATTATCTTGACTGTTCCTCGTTGAATTTTTATTCATATATTTCTTGGTATTAAGATAACGCAACAGTGTCACATTTTTGCGTCAATTTTTGACGTATTATTTGTCATTTGTTTACATATTTGCCTTGTCTTGTTAAATTAACACAAAAATTGAGGTGGATAAATTGAGACGTGCGAAATATATTGAATTTAACACACAATCTTTTGTGTAAAGATATCTTTGATCCGATATTATGTATTTATACTTGAAAAGATACACTTTGCACGGAGAGAAGAAATCCCAAAAATCTCACAAAAAATCTCGATTACAAAATCAGTTTTTAACCGGTAACTGGCTAGTAGTTTCCTGGCTGGTTTCCAAACAGCTACTGTCTAATAAATCCAAATAAAAACTGGCCAGTTTCTGATTAGTAACCAGTTTTTTTCCGGGACTGTTCCTTCTCGAAATTATTGTTGTTTTCGGCACCAACTATATCTTCTCGTTGTTCTAACAAAAAGGTAGCAGCAATATACATCTAAAAGTCATTATTCACATTGTCATCAATGCAGCCAATGTGCAGATCAATGCTGCAATCAATTGCAACAAGTAATACTTACTACAAAAAAGGTTCTCCTGATTATCATTATTTTAATGAATGTAATTCTATATACAGTGATAAATACACTTTTCTGCTCAGTGTGACAATATATGGAATTTTTTTTTGTTTATTTAAAAAGCGACTCTTTGAGAAATGAACAATGCACATCTCTGTGAGAACCATTTTTGAGGGTATAATTTTATCGACAGAATTCAATGACGAATAAAGATTTGACGAAATTCCACTCTTTTACGAGTGCATTCGATTGCGACGCGTGAAAAAAGTTGTTAAGCGCGAAATCCAATCGGGCCTTATTTTTGCACGCGCTCCAATCGCGCGTGCGTAACAGGCGGCACATTTCACACGAGATGTCCATCGCAACGCGCAATTTCACACGGGTAATTGACACTGTCGTTCGCCGGACGAATTGCGTTATGACGCATCAAATGAATTTCACGGACGGCGTGTATTCCCCGGGGGGATCCCTTCTCCGCGGCCGCGCGCGGTGTCATCGCTCGCCTTCGAATGCCTTGCGATTTTTCACCTCCGCGGTGATGCACGTTCGCGAACTTTTCGCGCCGGGAGGATCGTAAAGCCGGATATACGTACGACCGGCGTGAATTCGAATGGAATCTCTCCCGCCCTTCGGCTGGTTCGCTCCGGCGAAATGTGATATTTATCACGAGCGTTGCCGCTAAATTCTCCAGAAAATTCCAAATATTATATACTTGGCGATGCGCGCCCCTAGAATATCGTGGAAATCTGAAGTAAAAGCCGGCACGATAGACGGTTGCGAAAATGACGCGAACATTCTCGAGTATCGTGCGGCGGGCGATGCGTCTGTGCAAATATTATTCTTTTTCCTTATAAATATCGCGTGGAATCGTTGGAACTTTTTTGGAGGGCCGACTATCTCGCTTATGAATATATCACGTCGGTTCCAGCGCTATCGAACTGTACTGATCCGCGGACGGACGAAACAGTTGGAAAAAGCGATGGAAATTACTCGGAGTAGAAAATTCGTTTTTGGCCAGTAACTAGCTGGAAAATCTGGCTATTGGATAGTTTCTCTCTCTAGCTAGTATTTACTAACCTCCCAGTTTGCTGCTCAGTAAAATTGATCATAGTTCCTGAACCAACTGCTAAGCATCGTTCTATCTAATCTAAGTATTATTCTATCTTTATCGCTCATCACATGTCGAAGAAAGATAGAATAATGCTTTCAGCACGAAAGCGTGCAAGACAAACTTGGTCTTAGTAATCAATTCTTTTTTTAATTCTTTCGAGTAAGTTTTCATTGGTTCGATTCTATATTGTAAAATACAATATTATATTCCATAGGCAATATGAAAGTAACATGAAATTCGTTCTAGAAGATAGAGTTTTTTCACGTTGAAAGACTCATTTATTATAGAGATAGTCGCAGCTTTATCTTTAATTGCTGTTCTTTCTTGGCAAGAAACATTGGCCAGTATTTTCCAAGTTTTTACTAGACAGACATTGACCAACATCTGCTTGCTACTTTTTATTGACCAGTCTCTGGCCAGTAACTGGCCAAGAAACACTGGCTGGTATTTTCCTGGTCAGTTTCCACTGTCTGATAAATTCTAGCCCGTAAAAACCGACCAGATTCTGGCTAGTGACCAATTGTTCCCGGGAAGTTTTCTACTCGGGTACCACGAAAATTATGATTTCAGTCGCAGTCGTTCGCTCGATTGTTCGCATTATATCGCTTCACAGAGGATGAAATAGGTTTGTGAAATAAAATACAAATTTCCAAAATATGTGTGCAAGAGAAGAATTCGCGAAGAAATGTTCGGAGCGAAACAATCTCGAAGCCGAGACCGGTCGATCTGCACGTTACATCATCACGCGAAAATACATTTCCGCGCGCTCGCGGCGACATCGCGAATTCGCGCGGGAGTTGTAATAATTTCTATGTGGATATTATAAAATCTATCGGTGGCCAAACGAAAGGGGGTTTTCAACGGGCGAATATAACGTCGGTCGTAAAAAAGGCTCGTATTTGCATGCTGCCTTTTTAAGCGTTTCCGATTTGAATTGCGCCATCGTTTAAAATACAGCTGGATATGCCGTCGCGTCGAAGATTCCGCGCGTAAAAAGCGCTTGTGCGCTACGCCGTTAGCGAGACGGATTTATTGCTGTAAAATGTAATCCTCTTGTAAGCAGATATAGCGTGCACACCGAGGAAAGTAGAAGATAAATTCATAGAGAATAGACGCACAGTTGGATGCATTTATCCTATTTTTCTCTTTCTTTCTCTCTCTCTCTCTCTCTCTCTCTCTTTTCCTTTTGCCGCGACGTTACTTTTGTCGTTCTTCTTGTTCGTTCTTTTTCAAGACTCCCTTTTGAAATTGGCTTTGACGCATCGCGTCGCTCGGACGCGCACAATTCCCTTTAATTCATAAACGCGATTCTTTTTAATTCACTTGCACCGCCGTGGTATCGCGCGGCTGTGCGTGTCTGTTTGTACGTTTAACTCAAATTGCGTGAAACAATGAACGCGACACGCTTGCAGAAAGGCTGGCGAGCTGATTGCGCCAGCCTTCTTTAGCGTTTTAAAATCGGCCCAACTCGCCTAAATGTCACGCATTATGCACTCTCATTAATATGCGCATAATTATAATCGATCGCGCATTATGCCATACATCGACAATGTATAAATTGCGTGCAACGTGACGCGAAAGTTTATTGATACGATCGTCAATGCTTGCTATAATTAAGTGAATAATTCCATTGGCCATAATTAATAACGAGTGAGTGCTATGTGAACGCTCACGAAATATGGATAAGTGTGTCTCTCTCGGTCGTTAAAATTCAACATTAAAAGCGCGCGCATTTAGTCGTGCTCTGTGAACTCCACCAGTTCTCAAGTCGAGGCCGTTATTATTGAGAGGATCGGTCACTGACATATTTTTACAACAAACAGCTACCAACTTAATTCGCGCCTAATTTCCAGCTAGCTAATTTCCGTCCACCTTTTGCCTGAGTGTTTCCCGTGCAATTTTTACTTGAAAAGTAACGCAATTTCGCTTGCACTTACACGCACGTTTTAGTATTAAAGGGGCTGCTAAGTTTGTCGCGTGAGGAAGGCGAGAAAGCTCTTCTCTAGCAGAAAGTGTAAACGCGAACCTCGCAATGCAGTTGCGAGAGAGAGAGTGTGTGTGTGAGAGAAAGAGAGAAAGAGAGAGGAGAGAAAGCCTACGTTCGTCGTCAACACTTTAGAAGCAAGTCTACCACTTTAGGAATTTTTAATGAGAACGTTAGCGAGGAACGTTTACTAAGTGAAAATTTCTAGCGTTACAGTTCAGCCATGCGACGACGGAAACGCAATGTTAAATGTCGACGGGGATACGTGTCCATTTTTCTGATCGATTTTTATCTGGTCTACGCCAGCACGCGCTGTCGTGTTACACTAAATTCTTAAGCGGGCTCATGCCACCGAAGGTCGCAGTAACGACGATAGGTTCCATTTCCCGCCTCTCAGCGCGAAATAGTTTAAGGGCCGATGGAAGCTGAACGATGGAAACGGTGAGATGAGTCGAGTCACGTATTTAATACCCCTTCCCACAGCAGAATCTCCACCTATTCCGTGCGCTCGATTTTGCGATGTTATCCGTGCTGATCATTGCCTTCTACCTTCCTCCCACTCCCTTTCTTCGCGACGAAGGTAAGGTAGTACACGATGCATCTTTAATTCGTGCACTCAGTTCCTCGGAAGTTTTACCATTCATTAGATCGATAGTCGTTGAAAGAAAAGTAAGCAATCGACAAGAGACGAGTAAGGATGTTAGGTAGGATAAGTGAGAGCCGTTAATATGTGAAATTAATATAAGTAATTAATGATGAACTATCTGCCGATTGCGTGTTACATGTAAGATAAAAGTATCGATTCCCGGATACGTATAACGAGAGGAAGGAAATATCTAAGAAATAAAACATGTTTATTCGGTGTGAGTACTATAATAACGTATTCATTTATACTAATATAAAATTTTTCGGACAAAAATTTCTTAATTTCGATAGATATAGCTGGTGATTTTCACTTGAAAGTTCTCTTAAGGTTGAAAAAGAATCTCTCATGGTCAATTATAGATCACCATCTTATTTACTGATCGAAACGAAGAGTTTTGTCCGAAACATCTTTTTCTAAAATGTGTTATTTATTAAAAAAAAAATAACAGTGTTTATTAAAATGAGACACTTCATATAAGAGTTGAAATTGATTCCGAGTTAATTTTTTCTCGCATAAATAATCATCTTGATTGAGATACTGTAC